CACTTATAATAAAATTGATTATAATAAATAATCATATAAATGGAATGATTCACATATGAAAGTATAATTATTTTTATCATATAATTTTCAAAGGAGTATTTCTATCATTGCTCATTTATAAAAATGAAAATCTTTTTTCTAATCCAACTTTTGTTGGAGAATGAATTAAATCCTACATGACTAAAGTATTATCTTCTTCATATTTTATGATATTCATGCTGAATATTCCAACAGCATTTAACTTCTAATTTGTGAAATATGGATGGTTTAGTAATTCTTTGGCAGAAGGGCGATGTTAAGGATTAGTCTTTAACATTTTAAATCTCATAATATTAATTGATCTTACAATAGATCTTTCTACTCAATTGTTAAAGCATTATATCTCTTATCTTCTGGATTAATATTACATTCCTTATTAAGTTTCAGTAATTCTAGATGTCCTTTACCAGGAAAAACTCCCTCTCCTAACAAAAGCAAATGAAATATTGCCCCGCAACTAAATATATCGCAAACTCTACTATATTCTTTATCTTTTTCAACTAAATTGGCAACTTTACTCTAATTAATACATAAAGTTTACTTTCTGGAGCAACATATCCTGGAGTACCACATTTAGGATAAAGATAAGGAGCATCAGTCTATATTGCAGAAAGTCCAAAATCACCTATTTTCAATGTTGTAAAATCTTATGGTCTCTAAAATAGTATGTTTTCTGGTTTTAAATCTCTATGCATAATACCTTTACTATGTATATATTCAACTGCTAAAAGAAGATGATGAATAATCTAAAAATTGATGAAAAATAATTACAATTTTAACTTCTGAATCTTCCAACATTGAATTCCGTTTTGTTAATTCTGCTTACAAATTTTGTCCAGAACATAAATCCAAAACTAAATTTATACTATTTTCTCCATCATAAACTTCATGTAAATTAACTATTTAAGCATGTGGACTTAAAATTCTCATAATTTCTATCTCATTCATCACTGCCTTTAATCCTTTATCAATTTTATCCAGTTTTTTTTTCTCTATACACTTTCCAGCATATTCCTATCCTGTAAAAATGTTCTTTAATTAAAATACTACAGCATAACTACCCTCTCCCAATACCTACTGTGTTTCATATTCATCTTCAATACTACTTTATTAAACAAATTTCTATAATATCTTTTTTAAAGCTATAAGCATCTCAAAATCTGCATAATATTTAAGTTATTCCTTATTCGTAATTAAAGTAAAACTTTTCAGAAAGGTTTTGAATGTTTTAGAGTTAATTGAATAGTTCCATTTAACTCGAATTAAATTTTCAAACATAATTACTCTTGAAGGATCACCTTTGTTTTAGTTTCTATTTATTATCAAACGATCTTCAAACACATATATAAATCTATTTTCTTTTCCTATAAATTATTTTTTCTTCGTTTTACACTAGAAGAGGCACTAATCATATTCTATATTATGTTATTTCATAATATTAATACTTAATGTTTGGATTATGATGAAGTATTGATTTAATAATAACAAAATGATTTACTTAAGAAAAATATACTTTAAAGAATATAATTGTTTATTATGTTGTATTTATAGTTTCATGACTATTTTAAGAACTATTGAATAATAATAAATAGTTATAAATTAGATTGATATAATTAAATGTGATTATAATTTTATGATAAAATTTAGATTTTGTAAATTTGCTTAAATCAATAGCATAACATCTCTTAAGAGTAGAATCGGAGGTAGTTCAAAAACACCAGAATATGATTTATATCGCTCTTATTACAATAAAACAATTGAAGATATAAAAGAATAACCTGGAGTAACAATTGTCAAAAATATTAATGATGCTAAAAGAGTTATAGATATATTAAATAAATACAAAAAATAACCTCATGCATGGGATACAGAAACTATAGATATAGATGTTAAAAGTGAGACTCCAATTAATAGAGGAAAATTGATTTGTGCTAGTGCATTTGCAGGTCCTGAAGTAAATTTTGGGAATGGTCCAAGATTGTTTATAGATAACTTTGCTTAGAATAGTGATTTAATAATGTTGTTTAAAGAATATTTTGAGGATGAAAAGATATTAAAAATATGGCATAATTATGGTTTTGATAAACATATTTTTGGCAATCATGGAATTAATGTTAAAGGCTTTTTTGGGGATACAATGCATATGGCCAGATTATTAGATCCTTCAAAATAGCCTTAAGAATACAGTTTAGCTAAATTATCATTAGCTTATGAAGATGAAATAAAATTAGTGAAAATAAAAAGAATGGAATGTTTACTGAAAAAACCAAATTTAACAGATGAAGAAAGAAGTAGTCTCTAATTATTTAAGGATCATCTACTCGATATCAATCTTAAAACTAGTATGAAATAAATATTTGGATAAAATAAAGAATTAAAAAATGGTTAAGTTAGTAAATTAAAAGTATATCCTAAGATTTTATAAATGCATTGTCTGCCTCAATATATTAATTAATGGATTGAATATTCTACTTTAGATTCAGAAATTACATATTTTTTATGTCTCACTTTAAAAGACTTATTGAATAAAACCAAAATATTTTATAATTTAAAACCAACAGACCCTGATTTTCAAACAAAAAAAAGTGAGTTTGGAATTAATTGTCTAGGGGATATCTACAGCAAATATTGGAATTCTTTAGGTGAAATATTAACAGAGTTAGAGAGGGAAGGAATGCAAGTTGATATGGATCATGTGAAAAATATTAAGTTACAAGCTGAGGAGGACATGAAACAATATGAATAAAATTTTATTAAATGGGTTCAAACTACTTAAGAGGGAGATGTTTCTTAATTTAATTGTAGTAGTACATAATAATTATAATAATTATTTTTTGCCCCTTGCAAAAAATAGTAAACAAAAAAAACACCTTAAATGATGAAAGAAGAGGAGGAAGAAGATGAATATCTATCAGATGGAAGAAAAAAATCAATTCGTAAAGAAGTTGAAGACTTGCCTGAAGTAAAATCATTCTAGATTGATAACATACATTAAATTATTAAGGAGAACCAGAGAACTCCTTTAAAATATACTGAAATGCATATCAAGGGTCTAGGAATAGAACCTTTAAGTTACACTCCTAGTGGAATGCCATAAGCTGATTATAATGCTCTAAAGTAATTAGCTGGTGATGTAGAAAAATAACAATATGGATTAATATATCATCATTTTGTTGGAAAGGGTGAACCTTAAAAAGGTATTGATGCATGTTTGGCAATAAATGATTTATTAGAATTAAAAAGTATAGAAGTTTTATTACATACTTTTATTATTCCATTAATTGAATTAACAGATCCATCTGGTCGTATTCATACCAGTATTAATATTAATACAGAAACTGGAAGATTAAGTTCTAGAAATCCAAATTTATTAAATTAACCTGCATTAGAGAAAGATAGATATAAAATAAGAAAATCCTTTATAGCCAAAAAGGGGAACAAGTTAATTGTAGCAGATTATGGTCAATTAGAATTGAGAGTATTAGCACATATGACTAAATGTAAAGCTATGATTGATGCATTTCTAAAAGGAGGAGATTTTCATTCTCGAACTGTTATTGTAATGATATTATTATTAATCTTTTTAAGACAATGTTTCCTCATATCTAGGAGGAAATTGATAAAGGAGAATTATTAATAGAATGGGACAAATAAAAAGGAAAAGCACCAGCTCCATTAGTAAAAGACAAATATGCAGCGGAGAGAAGAAAGGCAAAAGTGTTGAACTTTTCAATTGCATATGGTAAGACTGCAACTGGATTTGCAAAGGATTGGTAATGTGAAGTCAAGGAAGCCTAAAAAACAATAGATGCCTGGTTTGCTTAGAGAAAAGAAGTGGTATTATGTTTATGTAATTTAGGAACAATGGCAATATAATGTAAGAATGATAGCAAAAAATTAATTTTTTACATAAACTCTATTAGGAAGATATAGATACTTGGAAAAATACTTTTAGTAATAAACTAGATCTTATATTAATCATGGATTAAGAGCAGCAATAAATACTCCTATTTAAGGAGGAGCTGCAGATATAGTAATTGCAGCAATGGTTAAAATATACAAAAATTAATCATTGAAGGATTTAGGTTATAAATTACTTTTACAAGTTCATGATGAATTAATTCTAGTATTTTATTATTATTAAATTAATATAGGAAGGTCCAGAAGAAAATGCTTAGTAAGCTTTAAAGATTGTAAAAGAATTAATGGAAAATCCTTTTGAGATTTAATTAGAATTACCTTTAGAAGTTGATGCTAAAATAGGAAATAATTGGTATGAATGTAAATGAAATTAATTGTGTATTTTAAATCAACATTTTTTGTTAACAAATGTAAAACTTAGATAGTGATGAATAATACAGTAATAAATATAGAAATCTTTTTAATGATTATATATTATGTAATAATAAATTTTCCGAAGAATAAATGTCGACTGGCTTAGTGATTAATCAAGTGAAAGAAAGAATACTCTTTTTCTCACCAACAGTGTAGGGAAAAATGGAAAGAGAAGCTTGCACTTAAGATTTTGAAGTAATTTAAGGATTGGGATAAGGGGCATTCGGAAAAGTATTCAAAGTTAGGCATAAAAAAACTAAAATGATTTTTGCTCTAAAATAAATAGCAAAAAAGTAAATAAAACAATAGAAAATGACTTAACAAATCATTAATGAGGTTAAAATAATGTATGGATTAGAACATCCAAATATTGTAAAATTATACAATCATTATGAAGAAGAGGATTATATTTATTTGATATTAGAATGTGCAACAGGAGGGTAGTTATGGTAAAAGTTGAATCGAGTAGGTCGTTTTGATGAAAAGACTGTCAAACAATTTATGTAGGAAGTCATGTCAGCAATAGAATATTTGCATACGAGAAATCCTCCTATTATTCATAGAGATATTAAACCAGAAAATATACTTTTAGATGCAAATGGACATATTAAAATAGCTGATTTTGGATGGTCTAATATCAATAATCATTAAAGAACAACGTATNAGATGCATTTCTAAAAGGAGGAGATTTTCATTCTCGAACTGTTATTGTAATGATATTATTATTAATCTTTTTAAGACAATGTTTCCTCATATCTAGGAGGAAATTGATAAAGGAGAATTATTAATAGAATGGGACAAATAAAAAGGAAAAGCACCAGCTCCATTAGTAAAAGACAAATATGCAGCGGAGAGAAGAAAGGCAAAAGTGCTGAACTTTTCAATTGCATATGGTAAGACTGCAACTGGATTTGCAAAGGATTGGTAATGTGAAGTCAAAGAAGCCTAAAAAACAATAGATGCCTGGTTTGCTTAGAGAAAAGAAGTGGTATTATGTTTATGTAATTTAGGAACAATGGCAATATAATGTAAGAATGATAGCAAAAAATTAATTTTTTACATAAACTCTATTAGGAAGATATAGATACTTGGAAAAATACTTTTAGTAATAAACTAGATCTTATATTAATCATGGATTAAGAGCAGCAATAAATACTCCTATTTAAGGAGGAGCTGCAGATATAGTAATTGCAGCAATGGTTAAAATATACAAAAATTAATCATTGAAGGATTTAGGTTATAAATTACTTTTACAAGTTCATGATGAATTAATTCTAGTATTTTATTATTATTAAATTAATATAGGAAGGTCCAGAAGAAAATGCTTAGTAAGCTTTAAAGATTGTAAAAGAATTAATGGAAAATCCTTTTGAGATTTAATTAGAATTACCTTTAGAAGTTGATGCTAAAATAGGAAATAATTGGTATGAATGTAAATGAAATTAATTGTGTATTTTAAATCAACATTTTTTGTTAACAAATGTAAAACTTAGATAGTGATGAATAATACAGTAATAAATATAGAAATCTTTTTAATGATTATATATTATGTAATAATAAATTTTCCGAAGAATAAATGTCGACTGGCTTAGTGATTAATCAAGTGAAAGAAAGAATACTCTTTTTCTCACCAACAGTGTAGGGAAAAATGGAAAGAGAAGCTTGCACTTAAGATTTTGAAGTAATTTAAGGATTGGGATAAGGGGCATTCGGAAAAGTATTCAAAGTTAGGCATAAAAAAACTAAAATGATTTTTGCTCTAAAATAAATAGCAAAAAAGTAAATAAAACAATAGAAAATGACTTAACAAATCATTAATGAGGTTAAAATAATGTATGGATTAGAACATCCAAATATTGTAAAATTATACAATCATTATGAAGAAGAGGATTATATTTATTTGATATTAGAATGTGCAACAGGAGGGTAGTTATGGTAAAAGTTGAATCGAGTAGGTCGTTTTGATGAAAAGACTGTCAAACAATTTATGTAGGAAGTCATGTCAGCAATAGAATATTTGCATACGAGAAATCCTCCTATTATTCATAGAGATATTAAACCAGAAAATATACTTTTAGATGCAAATGGACATATTAAAATAGCTGATTTTGGATGGTCTAATATCAATAATCATTAAAGAACAACGTATTGTGGTACATTAGATTATTTGGCACCAGAAATGATTTTAGAATGTGGTCATGATGAAAAAATTGATCATTGGAGTTTAGGAGTCTTAATTTATGAATTATTAACAGGCAAAGCACCTTTTGCTCCTTCATCATAAATTAAAGATCAAAAAGAATCCCAAAAAATTCTTGAGGATAATATTTTAAAAGTTAAAATCAATTTTCCAAACGATTTCCCATCATTAGCGAAAAGTTTAGTATAAGGATTACTGTAAAGGGATCCATAGAAGAGATTTAATATTCAAAAAATGAGAGAACATCCTTGGTTTGGAAATTGTTAAATTTAATAAGAAGTATAAAGTGAATAGAAAGTGAAGGCAGAAAATATAAAAGATATTATTAAAGATGATAAAGCATAATTTTCAAAGGAGGAAATTGCTAAAGTTGTCAATAGATAATTAAATTAAACCAAAGAGGAGGATGATGTAATAATAGTAGTAGAGGATTAAAAAGAAAAAGAGAAAGAAAGTACTCATGATTTTTAAAAAAATACAGTTTAATTATTGAATAATAAAATTACTGACCTTTAAAAATAATTAAATGATTCAAAAATATTGTTATAAGTGAAGATAGATGAAATCAAATAGTTGCAATAATAATAATAAGAATAACCTAGTTTATTAATGAATGTAGATACTCGTAAAATAAAATTACTAGAGGAAGAGAAGACAAAATGGAAATAAGCATATGAATAAATTAGAGATGAATTACATGAGAAACAAGCTGAAAATTTAAAATTAAATGCTGAGATAGAAAAAATATAACAATTAACTAAATCTTTAGAAAAATAAAAGGCTGATAAATAGTTATTACAAGAAAAAATAAAAAAACTTTAAGAAGAAATTGATTTAAAAGATTAATAAATTTTAGAATTGAGAACTGAATAAGATGGTAGGGTTTAAAATTCATTTCATGGAAGTTTCTTAAATTAATCCACATTAGAAGATGGTAAAAGTGTAGCGGATTTAAATTTAACATTTTAAGAAATGAAAAATTCTTTTTAAATTGCTCGAGAATAAATTGAAGAATTTGATAAGGCTTAAAGAAGGATTGTATAATAGGAAGCAGAAATATTAGCTTTGAAATCATAATTAAATGAATATAAAGAGTCAATTAGAATAACAGTTTAGGAACAATATGAAGATTAAATGGAAGAATTAGAAAAAAAGTAAAGAGATTAAATTAGGGAATTAGAAGCTAAACATTTTAATGAAATTACAAAATATGAAAATGATAAAATAAGTTTGAGAGATTAATTTAATGAATTAGAAAATTTGAAAAGTGAAGTTATTTTATTAAAAAAGGATTAAGAATAAGCGAATTTAATCATAATGGATTTAAAAAAATGTAAATAATTTATATATTTATTAGAGTAAGAAATAGATAAAAGATTGAGATATTAGATGGAATAAAGATTAAAAGAATAAGATATACTTATATTAGATTTAAAAGAAAAGGAAAGAGTTTATCGTAAAAAATGATTATTTATAATTCACAAATCCTAAATTTTTTAAGATATTTGATTGATTTATTTATCATAATTCTTTTGTTTCTAATCATTCATTTTCTTTTATATATCAACAAGAGTGATGTTCATATATTCTTACTTGGCAGTTGCGATAACATCATTAATATTTTCAAAACCTTATCCAGTTAATGAGGAAACCTCTAATACTGTAAAGTTATTATAAAATTCCTCTAATGTCAATACCATTTATTTGCTCAAAGTGGATAAATAAGTATCTTTATTTTTTAAAGCTTCTGTAAATGAATCATAATCTCTCAACCATTCTAAAGGCTTTTTTGAATCAGCAACATCACATTTATTAAAAACTATAACCATAGGTAATTTAAATTTGTAGAATATACTACAACTAAATAATAGATTGCTCATAAAACTATTAGGGTTTTAACATCTTGCAATGTCAATAACATAAAATATTATTGTTGGCATAGACATAGATAATGTTTAAGATATTAAATTGCCAGATGCAGACCAAGTAAAAACTTCGATTTATCCTGGAGTATCAATAATTTATATAGTGGTATCTGATTTTTCTATTTTTTCTATTAATTAGTTTAACTAAAGGGAGTAAAGATTAAGTGCAGTCATGATTGCTCCATTAGGACCTAGTTTATTTCTAAAATGTTATGATTAATAGTAATACTTAGTCATTAACTCTTTGTAGTTAATTGATTTACGAATATCTTCTTCAGGTTCATAAGGCAATGAATAAACAGCAGGATCAAGATTAATTACAGTATGCTTTTCATTTTTTAATTGTTTGCTTAATTGCTAAATAATATTGATTGATTCCTAACCTAAACAAAAGTAGTTTTGCCTGTTCCTGCCATTCCAATGATAAGCATAGCTACTTTATTTTCCTTTATCTAAAATTCAATATCCATAAATTAAATGAATAATAAACTAGAAAAATTAGTGCAAAATTTGTTTAAAGAAGGTGTTATTAAATCAGAGATTGTGAAATAAGTTTTATTATCTGTGGATCGTAAATAATTTGTTGACGAGTCTGATAAAATTAATGCTTATGAAGATTATCCATTATAAATTGGCTTTAATGCAACTATATCAGCTCCTCATATGCATGCTTATTCTTTAGTATATTATTATGTAATTAGGAATTACTTAAAGATCATTTATAGAATGGAGTAAGAGCTCTTGATATTGGTTCTGGTAGTGGATATTTATGTGCTGCAATGTTTCTGATGATGAAATAATAATAATCAAAAGTAATTGGAGTGGAACATGTTCCAGAATTGGTTGAAAAATCTATCAAAAATCTAAGTTTGTAATAATATAAAAATAATAGATAGGTCTTACAATTAATAGTTAAAAGATAAGCAAATATAAATTATTAAAGGAGATGGAAGATTAGGGTTTGAGTAAGAAGGTCCTTATTAAGCCATTCATGTTGGTGCTGCAGCTGAAACAATACCATAGAAACTATTAGAATAATTGGACAAAGGAGGTCGTATGGTAATTCCTGTTGGTAAAGGAAACTAAGTTTTTTAAGTAATTGATAAGGATTAAAATGGAAAAATCAATATCTAAAATGTTCTGGGAGTTAGATATGTTCCGCTGACTGATTTAAATAAGCAACTATATAATTGATAGAATTATAAATACATATATTAAATCGATTTCAATATCAATTTTTTATGAATCTAATTAAGTAGTAAATAAATTTAATACATATTATAAAATTAAATATAATGTAAAGCATAGACCATGAACATTATACTAAAGTAAAAAAATTACCTGGAGGAGCTTATGGTAAGATTTATCTGTGTAAATGTGAAAAGCCTATACATAATAAAAGAATATTTTAATGGATTCCTTAATTAGTAGAAATAGAAACTCATCCATAATTTGTAGTAATAAAAAAATTTAAGCCTTTAAAAAAGAGAGTGGGATTAGACATAGATAGTTTGCGTGAGGTAAGATTTATGAATACTATGATTCACTAAAATTTGAATATACCTAAGCATGTGTTTATGAAAACATCAAAAAAAAGGAATGATGATACATTTGGCTCAATTTGTTTTGTTTATGATCATATGGTTTCTCTGTTTGAGATATTATCTGTTTTTCGGGAGTCTAATGAATCAATTCAAGAGAGTGATATCAAATTAATGCTTCTCTAAATTTTATAGGGATTTGAAGAGCTTCATTAAAAAATGATTCTTCATCGAGATTTTAAACCTGAAAATGTTTTAGTAACAAAGGATGGCATTTTAAAAATAACAGACTTTGGTTTAGCAAGATTATGGGAAGATAAGCCTATGACAACATAAACATGTACTATGCAATATAGATCACCTGAACTATTTTTCAATGCATAAAAATATGGTCCAGCTTTAGATGTATGGGCAATAGGTTGTGTATTTGCAGAGTTTTATCTTAAATAACCTTTATTCTCAGGGGAAAGTGAGATTAAAATATTATCTAAAATGGTAAATATACTTGGAAATCCTACTGAAAAAAATTGGCCAGGTTTTTTAAATTTGCCTTAAGTTGTTCAATTTGAGAAAAGGGACTCAATGAATTTATTTAAGTTATTACCAAAAATGAGTAATGAGGGTATTGATTTATTATCCAAAATGTTATAATATGATCCAAATAAAAGAATTAGTATAAAGGATGCCTTGAAACATAATTATTTTAATTAAATCGAATCATAAAATTTGTCAAAAAAGCTAATGCAAATTATATATAGTAAATTAAATTGATTT